ATCTCTTGTTATGCATCAGAGAGTTGGACAATGACCAAGGAGGATAGAAGGAGAATTGATGCCTTTGAGCTGTGGTGCTGGAGAAGAGTATTGAGAATACCATGGACTGCTAGGAAAACAAACAGATTTATCCTGGAAAGGGTTAAACCAGGTGGCTCCTTGGAGGCAAGGATTCTGAGGCTCCGTCTAACATACTTTGGACATGTTGTGAGGAGAGACAGGTCCTTGGAGAGGGACATCATGCTTGGGAGGGTGGAGGGACAGCACAGGAGAGGAAGGCCCTCTATGAGGTGGATTGATTCAGTGACTGGGGTAATCAGGATGGGCGGTGTGATTGGCACAGGACAGAGCGGAGTTTGGGGCTGTTGTACATAGCGTTGCTATGAGTCGCAGGCGACTCGACGGCACATAACAACAACAACAACAGCAACATTTTACTTTTTGCAAGACACCGTTGTTGTTATTGTTGTTATGAGCTGTCAAGTTGTCTGTAACTCATAGCGACCCTGTGTATAATAGCTCTGAAGCCTGCCCTGTCCTGAGCCAGTTACACACACTCTGGCACATCTACCCCTATTGCCCTAGTTACTGTATCAATCCATTTCATCTGGAGTCTTCCTCTCGTGTGCTGTCCCTCCATCCTTCCGAGAATGATGTCCTTCTCCAAGGATTTGTTCCTCCTGGCCACATGCCCAAAGTATATGAGATGAAGCTTCAAAATCCTAGCCTCAAAGGGGAAACTTGGTTTCACCATATCCAAGACAGAACTATTTTTTTTTCTTGGTAGTCCATGGTATGTTCAAGACTCTTCTCCAGCATCACAACTCAAAGGCATCAATTCTTCTGTCATCCTTTGTATTTATCCAGCTCTTTGATGCATACCAAGTAATTGTGAAGACCATGGACTTGTTAGTCTCTAGACTGCCATCGTTGCTTCTCAGTACTCTGGAAAGGTACTTGACAACATATTTATCTAATGCAATTTGCATTTTGATTTCCTAACTGCTGGTGCCAAAAGTGTTGATTGTGGAGCTGAGCAAGCTGTAACTGTTCTGTTAATAACCTCAATCTCTTCTCCAAACATCATGGTACTACCATTTGGCCCAATGATGAGAATCTTTGTCTTCTTGATGTTGAGCTTCGATCCATATTGAAGACTACAGTCCTTGACCTTCTGTTCTGTAGCAAGTGCTTCAGGTCTTCCTCAGTTTCAGCAAGCAAGTTTGTGTAATCTGCATAACATAGGTTGTTGATGAGTCTTCTTCCAATCCTGATGCCACATTTCTCCTCTTAAAACACAAGACACTATAATATATGTTTGTCGTTTGTGTGACATTATTGTTTTTAGGTTCTATTTGGTTAGTTCAAACTCATACCAATCCTGTCTTCAACAGACGAACATCTTCAGTTATTGTTATGTTTGAGTCCATTGTTGTAATCACTGCTTCAAAAGGTCTTGATAAGGCTTTTCCTCTTTTACACAGACTTTCTATTTCATCATGTTATCTTTCTTTAGAGAATAGTCTTTCCTGCTTTCCTGATAATCTGTCAAAATATGTGAGCTGAATTCTCACCTGCCTGACTTTCCTAAGGGGCATTCTGGCTGTACTTCCTTTGCTCTTCTGACAGTCTGTGGTAAGGCGTTAGTTATTCTTTGGTCCCCTTATTCACTGCCTAGCATTTACAGGCATGCAAAATGATTGACTGAAAGTACTACAGCTTAGCTCAGGCACACATTAGTCCGCAAATTTCCCTCTAAGTTTTTAAAGACTTTTGAAGGTTTTTCCAATCCATTATGCCTTTTGATTTCCTGACTGCTGCTTCTATGGGTGTTAATTGTTGATCTAAGTAAAATGAGATCTTTGACAATGCTGATGTTTTCTCCATTTAGCATTTTCTTGCTCATTTTTCCATTTATGAAAAATTTTGTTTATGTTAAGGTTTAGGTAGTTAATAGATTAAGCCTAAAATATTTGAAAACTTAAAGTATGCACACACACACACACACACACACACACACACACACACATGCACACACACACATATTTGTATATACCTTGGACCAAAAGAAATAAATACAAAAGTAAAAGACAATCTTTTTAACACGTTGCCACAAATGACGGCAAAAAAAATGTGTTTCTAAGCATGGTCGTCAATTTAAGTGTGCTGCAACATGTTAAACTGATTGTAAGTGAAACACTACATATCAAAATTTGTAGGATGAATGTTAAACAATGCCTGGAGGTAATTTTATAACCTTAAATGTTTGTAGTGTAAAAACAAAACAAAACAAAAACCAAACAACCCAACCCAAACGAACACATCAGGAAACTAGTAATGGACAAGCAAGAACTAATTTGAAATAAGCAATAAGAAAAATAGAAACACAATCAATACTTTTAAAATAGGGAAAACTATAGAAAAAATAAAAGGAAAAAAAGCAGTTCTTCAGAGGGGGGGAAAATCAGTGTGCTAGCTATACTCATCAAAATAAAGACAGGCAATGAATAAATAACCAGTATAAAGATTATGTATATATTTTGGGCAGACAGAAGAAGAATTAATGCTTTTGAGTTGTGGTGTTTGAGAAGAATATTGAATATCTTCTCATGGACTGCTAAAAGAACAAACAGGTATCTCTTAGAAAAGGTGCTGCCAGAGTGCTTCTTCGAGACAAGGATGACAAAGCTTCATCTCTCATATTTTGGACGCATTGCTAGGAGAGGCTATTGCTTGGGAAATGATATCATGCTAGGACAAGTGAAGGGTCAATTAAAGTGAGGAAGACACCCATCAAGAAGGATTGCAGCAGTGGGCTCATGTGTTATGAAAGATGGTTAGCATAGCATAGAATAGTATAGGATTCAGCTCTTGTTCTTTGGGTCACTATGAGATCATACTTGACTTGATGGAACATAAAAACAACAACACCACCACCACAAACATGGTTCTCTTTGTTCTGCTTAACCAGGTAGATGTTTTCCAGATTCCCTGATACAGGAAAATGAACACATCTAGGACTGTATGTATTTGTTGAAACAACCAAATTTATACTCTTTCAATTCTTGGTGCTCATTTTTCACAAGTAGCTTCAGTGCAGCTTGGACCTGCATTCATAAGAAATACACATAAATCAAGAAATAGTTGTATGAACAGAACAAGATAATACTGCATAGTTTAAAATCAAGAGATGTAAGTGACAGGGTTGAATCCTTTCTCCATACTGGAAGAGTATTCATCAACAAATTTTATCATGCAATTAATGCAACCTTGATTCTAGAAAATGAAGACTTTAAGCACTTACTGAAGAAGATCAAAGACTATTGCCTTCAATATGACTTGTATATCAACATCAAGAAAACAGAAGTCTTAACTGGAAAAGATTGAAATTGTCAATGATTTCATTTTACTTGAATCTACAAACAACGGCTATGGTAGTAACCATCCATAAATTGGAAGATGTATTACACTGGGAAAATTTGCTGTTAAAGACCTCTCCAAAGTGCTAAAAAAGCAACAATTTTTAGCTTACAAACTAAAATGCAAATGATACAGGACATCTTAATTTTTTTGTTGCTTTGCATGCATCTGAAATTTGGACAGTAAAAAAAGGATGACTGAAGAAGGATGAATGCCTTTGAATTATGATGTTGGTGAAGAGTACTGAATATCCCATGGGCTGGCAAAAGAACAAATAAATCTGTGTTGGAGGAAGTGCAGCCAAGGTGCCCCAAACATTCATGGTGTTACTTTATTTTACATATTTGGGGCATGCCAAGAAAGGCCAGTCTTTGGAAAAGAACATTATGCTGAAAAAGATGGAGAGTCAGAGAAAGAGAGGAAGACCCTCAGCAAGTTGAATTGACACAGTAACTGTAATAATGAGCTGGAACATGTTGGAGATATTGAGGCAGGCCCAGGAAACTTAAGCACATTACAATAACAATATATACCATTGGTTCTCAAATTTCTGCCTTCTGCACAGATCTCTCTCCTGAACTTAAGAACTATATATCAGATTATCATATGTCTTTGGATAGTTAACAAGTGTCTCAAACATGCCACTCATAGCCTCCTTTTTATTTACCCTTCACATAAATGTTTTCCAGTTTAAATTAATGGAAGCTTTTATTTCAATTGTTCCTCCAAAAACTGTGGTGTCATCTTTAACTTTTGTCTTTTTCTTACATCCCACTTCTGATCTGTCAGCATATTTTCCACTTCTGCCTTCAGAATATTTCTCTCCATTGCTTTTGTGCCATACAAGGCTAAACCACTGTTATTAACTGTTTAGATTTGACCATTGTATTGCTTACTGGTCTTTTTTTTTTTTAATACTCTTTTGGCATCAATTCTCAACAATTTTTTTTCCTCCAAGATATCTCCCTAAAATGTCTCCTCAGTATTCTTCCCTTATGTTGTATGGAGCTCACCTAATTTTAAAAAACACCGTAATACCAAACAAAAACCTCCACAAACTCTCAATTGACCATGCTGTACTATTATATATTGACTTGCCTTTTGGAGCAGGCCAAACATTTTTGCTTGTTTGTATTTAGTATATGTCCTAACTGGTTTTTGTGTTAGTGATATAAGACGGGGAAGAGTTAGAATATTTAAAAATTGGTTATTTGTAGAGGTGAGGATGGGCAAGGGGGCCATCATAGGGTCACACAATTTGGTGGGTTAAGGGAAGGGATAAGATGGGATAATGGTGACCCTAGTTCATTAATGATTAATTTTCTGAAACACAATGAATGGGAATGATTATATGAAACAGTGTGAATGAAGGCTCATGTGAAATAATGTATAAAAATATTGTATGCAAACCAATATAATCTTTTTTAAAAAATGATGCTTTTTTGTCCTTTGCCAGTAGTATTATTAGAAACATTGGTTTTTATAAATCTGTTTTTAAAAGTAGTGCTTCTGGATTGAATATCAAGGACAAAAGGGAATGTAAAAACTGGACCTCTAAAGAACCTACAGTTACACAAGTGATGGAAAAGGCTAACTCAGTAACTGGTGTCTTACAATTGACTGATGACTACAGTTTGACTGAAACAGATCAGCTTACAGCAAGGTAACCAATATAAATTTTTAATTCCTTCTGAAGGAATGAATGCAGTGGTTATTTAGAAATAAAGCAGGACCAAGTCATCAAGTCAAGGTCACAAAAAATAAAACTATTTAAAAAATTTAGAAATTTTTTTTGAATGAAACTATTACAGTCTATCTAAAGAGCTCATTAAGAAGAGTGTGGGTGACTTTGCTAAGGAGCGTCGCCAGTAAATGCTGGGATGGAAGCCAACTGCAATGGATGATTGTAGAACTTTCTGCCAGGAAAGACAATAGAGAATTGGGTGATAAGAAGATAGGGTTTAAAAGAACATTTTCTTTTTCTTAAGCTTGGAGGTTTCATATAAACATGCTAATTACCCAGTAAAGGAGAGCATCATTATTATATTTAGTTTGTACTTTTGAATATTAAAAACTGGCTGTTTCATACAATACCAATACAGTCTACTGTTTCTGTTCATGTATCTGTGTCTCGTTGCCATCCAGTCAAAACCAACCTCCAGAGGATTTTCAGAGACCGTAAGATGAGAAGAGATTGTCTATCTTTCTCCCATGGAGTGTCTAGTGGATTCAAACTGCCTGCCTTTGGATTGGCAGCACAAATCCATACCCACTAGGCCTAGAAACCTCCCTCTATTCATGCATAGTTGTGTTTTTAAAATAATTTATCTATTTTGTAACTTTGCCCATGCTTTTTCCTCACCTCTTACATTTCTAGTTTTTTTGAGGAGAGATTATTTTATTCAGAATGATTAATAATGGTATATTCTTATACGATTTAATATATACATGGTCATTTAAAGTTATACTCTAATGCATAGATTTTTCTAAAGATTGTGTAATAATGAACATATATTCACTTAGGCCATATGCTGAATGGAATCTTATAATTTCTTTATGAATTTTAAAGACTTCAGTGCTTTACAATATCATCACACATGACTATGATTTTGTAAGTCACTGTAAAAAGCTCAGGTTATATTGGCTTAATTGTAGTTAAGATTCCGGATGGAAGGGGAGAATATTGTTATATGTACAATGGAAAAATAAGCTATTGACAATCTATTATAAATTACTACTTTTGCCCCCGGAATAGATGGTATACCAAATGACATAATTCAGCTAACAGATGCTGCCGTGAATGTGCTCACCAAGTTGTGCCAAGAAATCTGGAGAACAACCACTTGGCCAACTGACTGGAAGAGGTCTATATTTGTTCCCTTGCCAAAGAAGGGCGACCCAACTGAGTGTGGAAACTACAGAACAATATCATTGATTTCACATGCAAGCAAGATTCTACTGAAGAGTACATCAGCAGAGAACTGCCAGAAGTCCAGGCTGGGTTTAGAAGGGGTCGTGGTACTAGGGACATTGTAGCTGATGTTAGATGGATCTTACCTGAAAGCAGAGAATATCAGAAGAATGTCTATCTATGTTTCATTGATTATGCAAAGGCATTTGACTGCGTGGATCATAACAAACTAGCTGACTCTGAGAAGAATGGGAATCCCAGAACATTTAATCGTACTAATGCAAAACCTATACTTGGACCAAGAGGCAGTTGTCAGAACAGAGCAGGGCAACACTGCATGGTTCAAAATTGGGAAGGGCATACGCCAGGGATGTGTCCTGTCTCCATACCTTTTCAACCTGTATGCAGAGCAGATTATCCGAGAGGCGGGGCTCTATGAGGAGAAGCGAGGCGTTAGGATTGGTGGACGATCTATCAACAATCTGCGTTATGCAGATGACACAACCCTGCTCGCTGAAACTGAGGAGGACCTCATACACTTACTGCAGACGGTCAAGGACTTCACCCTTCAGTATGGACTGAGGCTCAATGTCAAGAAGACAAAAATTCTTACCACTGGACCAATCGGTAGCGTCAGGATGGATGGTGAAGAGATTGAGAGTGTTCACAGCTTCAGTCTGCTCGGCTCCACGGTGAACGCTCTTGGCACCAGTAGCCAGGAAATAAAAAAACGTGTTGCGATGGGATAGTCTGTGGTTAGGGACCACTCTAAAGTACTCAAGAGCAACGGTGTCTCTCTGGAGACTAAGGTGCGCCTGATACAGACCATGGTTTTTGCAATCACTTGTTATGCATCAGAGAGTTGGACAATGACTAGGGAGGATAGAACGAGAATTGATGCCTTTGAGCTGTGGTGCTGGAGAAGAGTATTGAATGTACCATGGACTGCCAAGAAAACAAACAGAGTCATCCTAGAGAGGGTTAAACCAGGCTGCTCCTTGGAGGCAAGGATTCTGGGGCTTTGCCTGACATACTTTGGACATGTTGTAAGGAGAGACAGGTCTTTAGAGAGGGACATCATGCTGGGCAGAGTGGAGGGACAGCGCAGGAGGGTAATACCCTCTATGAGGTGGATTGATTCAGTGACTGGGGTAATTGGGATGGGTGTGTCAGAGGCAATGAGATTGGCACCGGATAGAGCAGGGTTTAGGGCTGTTGTACATAGGGTCGCTATGAGTCGCAAATGACGCGACGGCACATAACAACAACAAACTTTTGCATTATAAAGTCCTAGAGTATAAAAAACTATGTTTTCCTATACATACCTGTTGTTACCACATACTTTGTTTTAGTAAGTATTTTTGAATACCCAAATAAACAATTGACTGAAAAAAATGCCTGGTAATGTGAGAGCTATTGAAAATATTTTTAAAATGTTGCCTAGTTATAAAGTCTTTTTAATTAAAAATTTTTTACAAGATTCAGATCTTTTTTCTGTAAGTATAACCATGAATAGAATGGCAATATGCATTTATTTGCTGTTCTATTACTTAAGCATCATGCCTCTGGAAACTCTATGAACTTTGATAAATGTAGATAGTTGTAAAGGGGCTTCAGGCCTTTTGTTCATAGGGTCTCTAAGATTTGCTGACTCCAAGGCAATCAACAACAACAATAAATAAGAAAAGCACTTAAAAGTAGTACGGTGTTTGTGAGTCCTATGCTTTGGAGCCAGAATTGCACGTCGTTATTCTGGCTTTTCCACTGGCCAGATAATTTTATGATCTTGGGCAAGTTACTTTTTAGCCTTTCTATGTCTTACTTTTTCTTTTGTGATATGTTTTACCTCCTTCATAAAATTGTTGTGAAGATTAAAATGGTTGAGATATGCAAAATGCTTAAAATAATTCATGTTATATCCAGAAAAGTTACCATTAAAACAATTTCTTCATAACAAAGTAGAATTACCAAGTAAGATGTTTTTATTGAAAATAATAAAAAAAGTTTTATTTTTTGGTAGCAAATAATAAAAGTTAAGTTACATTTTTCCTTTTGTTTTGACTTGTTCTTAAACTTGATATAAATTTAGATCATCCTTAATAATATATTTAGATATTTCCTTTATCCTTTAGTGTTAATGTTTTTATTTATACTGTAATTTATTTTGTAGCAAATGATTGTTTTAAATTACCTGTAAATATTTTTGTTAATATTAGAAAGAAATGAAAATTTTTGAAATTTTATATGTAAAGGATAATTTTAGGTATTTTTAAATTTTGTTTATTAAAGGGAATTATTTGTTTTATAGGCCTGCAAAGAAAATATCTAATGAAATGAGAAAGGTACTGTAACAAAAAAATTATTTACAATATTATTATATATTACATTTGTTAAAGATAAGCTGAAAAAGTAGAAAACAGTTTTTACAATAATAGAAAAGATATTTAATTGGGAAAAGCGATGAAGAAACATACATTAAAGATGTCTTTCTGATAAAAATTAATTCTTTTAGATAAAAAGTTTTGTAGAAAGATGAATATTTACTACTCCTATAAACTTAATATTTGCTTTAACTATTTTGAGACCATACTATTATTTACTTTATAGATTCAAGAGCAAATTAATTCTGTGGACAACTCTGATAACTTTACCCAGTCTTCCAGAACAGCTTTAGAGGATTGTACATCCTTTAACTCTGATTCTAGTAGTTTTGTGTTGAAAAAAGAAGAACTTGGAATGGATTTAAAAGGTAGGCTCCTAGTATAAATATACAGCCTTTTTATATCTTCTTAGGTGGCCAGTGATAAGAAGGTGGCTGCAGTCCCAAAGGCAAGAGGTTCAAATCCACCAGCTGCTCCCCAGGAGAAAGATGGGCAATCTCCTCCCATGCGATTAATTGCCTCTGAAAACCATCTCGAGAGTCAGTTGTGAGTCATTTCTTACTCAACAGCACATAGCAACAACATAGTAAGATATGGGGCTCTCTGGTGGCTTATTGGATAAGGAATTGTGCTGTCAATCCAAAAGCAGATGGTTCAAATCCACTAGCTGCTCTGTAGGAGAAAGATGGATAATCTGTTCCCACATGATTTGTTGTTGTTATGTTGTTATGTGCCATGGTACTAGGGATATTATAGCTAATGTCAGATGGATCTTGACTGAAAGCAGGGAGTACCAGACGAATGTCTATTTGTGTTTTATTGACTATGCAAAGGCATTTGACTATATAGATCACAACAAACTGTGGCTGACTCTGAAAAGAATGGGAATCCCAGAACACTTGATTGTGCTTATGCAAAACCTATACTTAGACCAGTAAGCAGTCATCAGAACAGAGCAAGGAAGCACTGCATGATTCAAAATTAGGAAGATTGTATGCCAAGAATGTGTCCTATCTCCCTACCTTTTCAATATATATGCAGAACAGATTATCCGGGAGCCTGGGCTGTATGAGGAGAAATGTGGCCTCAAGATTGTAGGTAGGTAGGTAGGTAGGTAAGTAAGTAAGTAAGTAAGTAAATAAATAAATAAATTTATTTATTTTAAAAAGACAAGGTCTGGTGGCCTAATGGCAAAAAGCTGCACTGCTGCACTGCAGTCCCAGAGGTACGCGGTTCGAATCCACCAAATGCTTTGCTGGAGAAGGAGGAACAATCTCCTCCTGTACCAGTCAGATCTGATTTGATGGTACACACGCACAAAAATAATAAAGAAAAAAATTTTTTTTAAAAAAGATAAAACCTTGTTATGAAAGAACCTTGTTACTTATCAATAACTTGCATTATGCAAATGACACAACCCTGCCATATGATTTACAGTTGCTGAAAAAATGCTAAATGTTACTTACCTATGAGTTACTTCTAACTTGAGGGCATATTACAAAAATAATATACTAAGACTCTCAAATTTTATTCAGTTTTGTACCACAGAGCAACAGAGTTCATCTTTCCAATTCATAACATGCACTGGAAGCACATAAAGTAATTTAATAATTACTAAGTTTTTTAAAATCCAGATATGAACACTTATATGACATTGTTTTAAGAATCAGCAATTATTTTGACTATAAGGTTAAAGACCACAATCCTCTAATTTTTCTGGTTTCATATCTCTTTTTCTCTAAGTCCATGCTAGTTCCATAGAAAGTTATTTTTGCATTTGAACATTTTGTTTTTCAACAGCTTTAGTGTGCTAAACTGCATGCTTTTGATAAATATTATTTCATCCTTCTTTGCCCCTCAGGACATAACATGCCTTCCTTTCTCAGGATGCTTTTGAAATTTTTTCTTTATCACAGACTTTAGCAATTAGATTAGAGTGTGCCTTGGTACACTTTCTTCAGTTCTTTTTTGTGCTTGAGGGTTTTTTTAACTTTTTGTGTCTGTGGATTCACCTCCCCTCCCCACCCCCAATCATTTAGGTCTGAAAAGTTTTCACCATTGTTTTATTCTTATTTTTGTTTTATCTTCTGTATCTTTGGAAACTTGTTTATTAACTGTTTCAAGTTTTCGCACAGTTCAGTAATAGTTCTATTTTACAATTTTCTTTCAATATCTAATCTGCTTTTAGGGAGCTCTAGTGGCCTAATGGTAAGAAAATTTACTGCAATCCCAAAGGCACGTGATTCAAATCTACCAGCTGCTTCATTAGTGAAGGATGAGCTCTTTCCTCCCATGCAGTTTACAGCTGAAAACTCAATGGATGGTTAGCTATGAGTAGATTCCGACTTCATGGCATACATAAGCAAAAACAAATCTGCTTTCATTTCCAGTCAGTGTATTTTTCATCTTTGATAATGTAATTTGGGTCTATACTTGCTTGTCTTGAGTCTTTTATGCCTCTACTTAACTTTTTATACAAATAGAGTTTAGTAACAGAGTAAAATAACTTTTAACACCTTCTCTGCAAATACTTGGGGCAAGTTATCAGGAGTTGCAAGTCCCTGGAGAAAGCCATCATGCTTAGTAAAGTTAAAGTGTCAGCAAAAGAGAGAATGGCCCTTCTTGAAATGGATTGGCACAAGGACTGCAACAGTGGGCTTAAGCTCAAGAGAGATTTTGAGGATGGCACAGGACTGAACAAGATTTTGTTCTGTCATCAATAGATCACTTGTGAGTTGAAACCAACATTGACAGCATCTATTTGAGCTAAAAAAATGTAGTGATCTCTACTAGTCTGTATAACTGTAGAGCTCAGTATAATGTCTTTCACATTATAGATGTCTTTATCTGTGATAAAGTCACCTTCAACTCATAGAGACCCTATAAACAACAGATCTGAAACCTGTTTTATCCTATGTCATCCTCACCATCACCAACACACTTGAACCCATGGATAGCTTCAGTCACTGTGTCAAGAATCTTCTTATCTTATGCCGACCTTCCACCTTTCCAAGCATGATGTCTTCTTCAAGAACTGGTCCCTCTTAATAGCACTCCCAAAATATGTTAGACAAACCTCCACCATCCTTGTCTAAAAAGAACACTCTGATTTTGCTTTCTCAGAGACATACCTGTTTATTCTCTTGGTCCATGGAATGTTCAGTACACTTCTGTACCACAACTGAAAGGCATTGATTCTTCTTCTGTTGCCCTTAGTCAGTCTACAACTTTAAGAAGCATTATAAGGAATTGAAAAGTTCATCACTCAGATCAGGTGCATCTTAGACTTTAAGCTGACATCCCCGACAGCAGATTTTCTCAATGTGATTCATCTTTTGATTTCTTGACTGCTAGTACCAAGGGTGTTGGTTGTGGATCCAAACAAGATGAAATCATTGACAACTTCAATCTCTTTCCCATCTAACATGATATTTTCGATTGGTCTGGTGGTATGAACTTTTGTTTTCTTGATGTTGATCTATATTTAAAGCTATAGTCCTTGATCTTCTGCAGCTAGCTCTTCAATTCCTCCTCATTTAGCAAACAAAGTTGTGTAAATTTCATAATGTGGGTTGTTAATGAGTCTTCTGCTAAACCTGAGGCCTCATTCTTCTTCATAAAGTATACCTATCTTAAATTATTTGTTCAGCATCTGCATGGAAAAAGGATAAATTCCTTATAGAAACCTTTCTTGATTTTAAACCATTCAGTGTTCCCTTGCTGTGTTTGTACAATTAAGCATTCTGGGATACCAATTCTTTTCAATATAGTTTGTCATGATCTACATAGTCAAATGTCTGTGCATAGTCAATAAAACACAAATGGACATCTTTCTGGTACTCTCTTCTTTAAGCCAAGATCCATCTGCCCTCAGCAATGATATCTGTACTACCATGGCTTCCTCCAAATCCAACTTGGATATCTGGAAGTTCTTTGTCAATGCATTGTTTTAGTAATTTCTGAATGATCTTCAGCAAGGTTTTACTTACATATGATATTAATAATTATATTGTACAGTAATTTCCACCTTCTATTGGGTCTTCTTTTGGGGGAATACAAGTAAGTATGAATATCTTCCAGTCAGTTTCTAGATTTCTTGGCATACCCTGGAGAGCACATCCAAAGCACCATCTGTTTCATATAATATGTCAATTGATATTCCATCAATTCCTGGGGACTTATTTTTTGCCAGTGATTTCAGTGTATCTTGAACATTTTCCTTTATTACCAATGTTTCTTGCTATTTCTTGAGCTGTTTCCTGAAATGGCTCTGTGTCAGCCAAATCTTTTTGGTACAATGATTCTGTGTATTTATTAATTGTATGAATGAGTGAAAATGAAAATACATAGTCCTTTGTACACAAAAAATATTTATACATATTATCCCTATCTTCATTTTTCCCAATGCAGATTCTGTTAATCTAATGAAACTCCAACATACAGTTTCTTCATGTGAAGAAAAATTGGAACTTCAAAAATATCACTGTGACATATATACAACCAAAAATGAAAAGTTTAAAACTAAATTTAGTCGAGTACGAGTTGACTCAAAACAGATAATATTACAGTTGGAGCATCAAAACAAAGAATGGGAACGAGAGGTCAACAATTTAAGGTATAAAATTTTAGTTTTACACGAATATTGGAGTTATTTATTTTAATACAACCAATATGTAGGAGAATTTTTGAAGTTTGCAACTGAAGTTTTACAAGGGAGAAAAGTTATTAGATTTGTAGAGTAAGTAGAGTATGAAATCCTTGAAAATAATCCCAGTTCTTTGTAGTGAATTGTTATTGTTATGTACCATTGAGTTGGAACTGACTCTTAGCTCTAGTGGGTTTTCAGAGGCAGAAAATCACATTGGAAGAGATTGCCCATCTTTCTTCCATGGAGCAGCTAACGGATACGAACTACATGCCTTTGGGTTGGCAGCACAACTCCTTACCAGTAGGCCAATAGAGCCCTTACTGCACTGCAATCCCAAAGGCACATGGTTTGAATCCATCAGCTGCTTTGTGAGAGAAGGATGGACAGCCTCCTTCTATGCTATTTATTATCTTTGAAAACCCACTTGACGGTCAGCTATGGGTTGATTCTAAGTCAACAATACAGAACAATAACAACAAGAATTCGTTTTAATATCATTTAGTAAATCCAGTTAGAGTTATAGAGTAAATATAAGTTAGAACACTTACACTAACAAGTAAATATATATTTCTCCAAAACATAGCTTAAGTGGTTATATGGAAGTCCACCATACAAAAATCTCATTAATTACTTCAGAAATTGAATGTTGGGTGGATGTTTTTCTCTCCTATAATTTGTCTTATTAAGAAAGTATTTATATAAAACTCTTTCATGGTTATTTACTTTGAAGAAATTCTTTGACAATAAAATGATTTGGTTAAAGTACAGATATTTTTTTAAAAGATCTTCAATTCACACTTCTAAATTGTTTTACATGTTGTTTATATTTATTTCATATCTGTCAGCAGAATACAAAATGACTTTTTCTAAAATTTATTTATATAAATATATAAAACATATTTTATAAAAATGTTTGCAGTGTTTTATTTAGCGTGCATAGCACAGGATAGAGAAGTTTTCAGGACTGTTGTACATAGGGTCATTATGAGTCACAAGCAACTCATTGGCACATAACAACAATAAAATGATTATTGATTATTTTGCTTAACAATTTTCTCATACACAAGCTACTTACATAAAAGCTCTTGGTCTTATGCCTTTTCATGGTTTTGGTATTAGGGTTATGTTTGCTTCATAGAATGATTTTGGGAATATTACTTCTTTTTCTATTATTGAAATTATTCAAGTAGAACTAGTAATAGTTTGGTTCTAAATGTTTACTGGAATTCACCTGTGAAGCCATCTGGACCAGGACATTTTTGTTGTTGTTGGGGAAGGGCAATTTGTCTTTTTATAACTGCTCAATTTCTTCTTTGGGATGGGTCTGTTCAAGTGTTGTTCCACTTCTCCATTTTCTGTAGGCTTTCTAATTTATTAAAGTATATAATTTAATATATTATACTTTGGACAAGTTGCAAGGAGAGACAGGTCTTTGGAGAGGGACATCATGCTGGGTCGAGTAGAGGGACAGCGCAGGAGGGGAAGACCCTCTATGAGGTGGATTGATTCAGTGACTGGGGTAATCGGGATGAGTGTGCCAGAGGCAATGCGATTGGCACAGGATAGAGCAGAGTTTAGGGCTGTTGTACATAGGGTCGCTATGAGTCACAAATGACTCAACAGCACATAACAACAACAACAACAACATACAATTTAATAATATTCTGATATTATAGATTTAATTTTGGCTGATTCTGTTGTAATGTTACCACTTTCATTTCTTATTCAAGTTAGTTGTGTCTTTCTTAAGTTTGCCAATGGTGCATTTAGTTTATTAATTTTTTTGACCAATTTCTGGTTTTGTTGATGGTTTCAATTATTTTCTATCTCATTTATTTCAGCCATTGTCCTTAGAATTTCCTTTCTTCTAGAGGCTGTGGGGTTAGACTGTTGTTATTTTTCTATTTGGTGGAGGAATTGAGTTGTTAATTTATCTCCTCCTTTTTGTGTGTGCTTGCCTATTGCTATGAACTTCCCCCTGAGGACTGTCTTAGCTGTATCCCAGAGGGTTTGTTTTGTTGTGGTTTTTTTGGGGCGGGGGGTGTTTTGTTTGTTTTTTTATCCCAGAGGTTTTGATGTGTTGTATTTTTATTTTCATTTGTTTTGAGGAGCTTTTTGGTTTCACTTTTTACATCTTCTACAATCCAATAGTGTTACAGAGCTTCCATGTGAGTGGTTTTTTACCCTTTTATTCTCTTCTTGTTAATTCCTAGTTTTATGGTGTGAGTGTGATTATTGAAAGACTAGATTTTATCATTTCCATTTTGCTTCATTTCTTTTGTTGTTATTGCTGATCACTCTGGTCCATCCACTTTACTCTGCTATCTCTGTGTAAAAGAATTCCATTAATATTTCCTGTAGAGTTGGTCTTGTTTTCATGAATTCCCTAAGTTCCTGTTTGTCTAAAAACGACCTAATTTCTGCTTCATATATGATGGACAGCTTTGCTGGGTACAGTATGCATGGCTGGCAGTTGTTTTCTTTCAACCTTTTATATATACCATCCCACTGTCTTCTTTCTCTGTTTTCTGCTGAGAAGTTATACTATAATCTAATTGTATCTTCTTTGTAAGTGACTCTTTGTTTTTCTCAAGATGCTTTTATTATTCTGTCCTTGTCTTTTATTTCTGAGACAGTTTTACAATCATGTGTATCTTTTTTTTTTCTTTTGGGGTCTAATCTATGTGGCATTTGCTGCATTTCTAGAATGTGTATTTCCTTGTTTTTCATTAAACCAGAAAGTTTTGTTCTAATGACTCTCCCACAATTTTCTCTGTTTTGTTTTCTTTTTAACCTCCTCTTCTGGAATTCTAATAGCACTTACGCTGTTTTGTTTGATGTCACTCCAAATGATTAAATGGTTTCTTCATTTGCTTTCTGTCTTCTCACTGGTTTTTCTTCTTTTAAGTTGTCATTGAGGTTTTTGTCTTCTAACTCTGTTCCATCTCTTCTTTTCTAACTTTTTGTGCCTCCATCATGTTGAGAATTTCTGCTTTTTCAGTCTTGATATTCTGGATTATATTTCTATGCTTTTCTGTTGTTTCTAGTACTTTGCTGATTTTATTATCTCTTGTGATGATTTCCTCCCCTTTCTTATTGCTCTTTACTAATGTCTTCAACTCTTTCTTCTAATATTTATAACTTTGTCAGTACTAGTTCTTAGAACTTCCCATATGCATATTTCATCGGACTTCCTGTCTCTGAGATATTCACTGGGTTCTCTATATATATAGGCTTTGCTTTCTTTTAGAAGGTTTGTTGGTTTGTTGTTGGATTTTCCCCCAGGATGTTTGATTCTGCCTGCTGCTTCTGTGACAGTGGATAGGGGTTTATGTTTCTCCCTCCTTTGCCCCCCTTTCCTTCAAGCTGACAAAGCCTTAGAGGGAAGCTGAGAACTTCCTAGAAATCTTGCCCAGGAACATTTCATCTTCAATACTGGGTTGCTATTCTACTCCTTGATTGTGTCTCAGTGGTTAATAGCAGTATACTTGGGTCTTCTCCTGAGGATTGAAGAGAGAGGTCACTTCCATCTTAGCAGAGTCTTTACAGGGAACTGAAAAATTCCCAGTAATGTGGTCTCTAGTAATGGCACCCAGGACCCTTCTTTTCGTGAGCCAGGGTCTGTAATATTTGTCTTGGTGAAATTCTGAAGCTCTTATTTCTAGCGAATTTTTTAACTTTAAACAACTTCATTTGTTAACTCATTAATTCTTAATTATCTGCTCCTTTTTTATTTTAATGAAAGTTTACAGAGACTTTGGATTTCCATTCATTCATTCATTGTTGCATAATTATCAGCTTTAAGAAAGGTATAATTATATCTGTATCAGTAAAGAAAAAGATCATTGTCAACTCTAACTTTACTGAATAATTACAAAATTCCTTTCCTATAATATCTATTCTATTCTATTAATTATATCATATCATATCATATCATATCATATCATACTTACTTATAATAAAACCTACCACTTATCAAAATGGTCTTTAAATATAGCTCCTCTTCGGAAAGATCCAAATGAAAAATTAAAAATAGGAGAACTAGGAACGAAACAACAACAAAAGAATCCAACAACTAAAATTTCAAACATTGAGTAATAAACCAACATATAAAAAGCAAAAACAGGGGAGCTCTGGTGGCCTAGTGGCAAGGAGCTGCAACTACAATTTCAGAGGCGTACAGTTCGAATCCACCAGATGTTCTGCTGGGGAAGGAGGGACAATCTCCTCCTGTACCAGTCAGATCTGATTTGACGGTACATTCACACAAAAATAATAAAAATAAAAATTAAAAAAAAAGCAAAAACAGAATGAAATTTTTATTTCCTAGCAAAATTAATTTTAAAGTATGCTTGTCTGACTACAGATTTGCCTTAAAACAAGAAGAAGAGAAAAGAAGAAATGCTGACATGCTATGTGAAAAAATTAGACATCAATTTAAAAAAAAAGAAGAACAATATAGTAAAGAAGTTGAAATGAAACAACAACTTGAAATCACTCTTAGAATGCTAGATGTGGAATTGAAGACTGTAAGAAATAATCTGAACCAGGTAAATTATTTGTAAATATTTGTTGTTCTAACTTTATTTATTTGTGTATTATTTATGATGCCTCTTCCATTCATTTCATCTTATTTTTAAATTGAATTTTTTTCATTTAAATGAAAATTTACAGATTTGATTAATCATTACTTCAGTCATTGTAATATTAATTACAATTCATCAATATAGTCAATTAACTTTAACATATAATCAGTCTCTTACTGGATATTGCCTTTCTTTTCATCCATCATATCTATACATAAATGTTTATTCCTCTTGCACTACTTTCCCTTTGGTAACCATCCTCGAATGATTCTATCTGTATGCAATCCCTTCTGTACTTTTTTGTATAGTGGTCTTAGACAATATTTATCCTTTTCTGACTAAGTTCTTTTCACTCAGCATAATTTCCTCTAGTTTAAGTTGTGTTGTTCAGTTTTTCATGAATTCATTATCATTCTTTAATGTTGCATAAAACTTCATTCTGTAGATGTACCATAATTTCTCTAGCCATTTGTCTAATGGTGGACACTTAAATATTCTTGTTTGTTACAATCCCTTTGGTATTATAAATAATTTTGTAATAAAAAAATGTATGTATATATCTTTTTGTGTTGCAGTGCTTTTTCTTTGGCATGCACACCTACTAGAGGGAAAGCCAGGAGAGTTCTGGTGGCATAATGGTTAAGGAGTTATGCTGTCAACTCAAAAGCAGGCAGTTCTAATCCACCAGCTGCTCTAAGGAAGAAAGATGGGCATTCTCCTCCTGTGTGGTTTACAGCCTCTGAAAACACACTGGAGGGTCATTTATGAATTAATTCTCACTTGACCACAGTGAGTTTGAGTTTTTTAAGAGTGGAATTGCTGAATCAAATGGTATTCCTCCTTAAGTTTCAAAGCAAATGCTAAACTGCTTTGCATAGTGGTTGTGCCATTTTAAAATCCTACTAGCATGTCCTCAGTAGTACTTTGCTTATCCAGAGTCTCTCTCTTCTTTATATAAATTTATTGATTACTTTGTCAATCTCTTTAAAGAATGATAGCCAGATCTGGATCAAGGTTGTATTTTATCTGGACAATAGTTTCATTAGTATTATCATTTTCACAATGTTTGTCCTCCCAGTTCATGTTGTTGTATGCTGTTGAGTCAAAATCAACTCATAGCTGACCCACCAATGAGTTTTCAGAGGCAGTAAATCACACAAGAGGAAATTTGCCCTCCTCCTGCAGCTGGTGGATTTGGACCATGTGAATTTGAGATTGCAGTGCAGCTTCTGACCATTAGGCCACAAGAGTTCCCTGTAGACTCCTTCATTTTATGATTATTGTTTAAGTATATGCTGGAGATGAAAAAGTGAGAAAAAAAATGGGGTTGCTTTCATTGTTAAAAAGGCCATTTCTAGATCCATCTTGAAATACAATATTATAAGTGACAGGATATTATCCATATGCATACAAGGAAGACCTGTAAATACCACTTTCATTCAAATTTTTGCAGCCAGAGCCAAATTTAACAACCAGAGCCAAAGAGGAGGAAATAGATTATTTCTACCAACTTTTGCAGTCAGAAATCAATCAAACGTGTAACCAAGATGCATTAATAATAATGGGTGACTGGAATGTGAAAGTTGGGAACCAGGAAGAGGATAAGTAGTCAGAAAATATGGACTTGGAGTCAGATATGAGACTGGGGATAGAATGATAGAATTCTGCACAATCAATGACTTATTCATAGCAAAAACCTTTTATGAGACACACAAACGCAGACTATAGACATGATAGTATGAATAGGAATCAGATGTATTACATCTGTGGAAGGAATCAGTGGAGAAGTTCAATATCAGCAGTGAAAACTAAGCCAGGTACTAATTGTGGATCAGACCATCAACTACTTATATGCAAGGTCAAATTAATTCTAAAAAGGTTTAAGTCATATCCACAGGAATAAAAATTTGATCTTTAATCTATCCCCTATGAATTTAAAAACCAACTCAGGAACAGGTTTGAGGCCTTTAACACTAATGAATGAAGACCAGATGAGCACAGGGAAGATATCAAGAATATAGTTCTTGAAGAATGCAAAAAGTCATTACTAAAGAAGAAGTAAAGACCAAAATGGATGTCAGGAGAGACTCTGAATATTGCACTAGAGTGCCAAGAAGCCCAAGCAAAGGGAAGAAACCAAGACAGTAAGGAGCTGAATAGAAGAGTTCTAAGGACAGTTCTAAGGACTCTAGAAAACAAGGCAAAGTATTATAATGAAATGTGCAAAGAGCTGGAGTCAGAAAATCAAAAGGGCCAAACTCACTTTGCATTTCTTAAGCTGAAGGAACTAAAGAATGAATTCAAGCTGTGAGTTGCAAATTAAGGATGCTATGGGCAAAATATTGAATGATTCAGGAAGCATTAAAAGAAGATAGAAGGAATATACAGTCACTGTACCAAAAAGAATTGGCTGACACAGAAGAATTTCAAGAAACAGCATATTATCAAGAGGCAATAATGATGAAGGAAGAAATTCATCCACTTTCTCCAGGACAAACCTGTTTGTTCTCCTAGCACTCCATGGTATATTCAACACTCTTCTCCAGCACCGGAGCTCAACGGCATCAATTCTCTTTCTATCATCCCTATTCACTGTCCAACTCTCCGATGCATAGCATGTAATTGCGAAGACTATAGCCTGGATGAGGCACACCTTAGTCTCCAGCCTGACGTTGTTTCACTTCAGTACTCTTGAGAGGTCCCTCACAGCTGACTTTCCCAATGCAATTCATCTCTTGATTTCCTGGCTGCTGGTACCAAGAGTGTTGACTGTGGAGCTGAGTAAACTAAAACTGTTATCTCAATCTCTTCACCATCCATACTGATGCTGCCAGTTGGCCCAGTGGTGAGAATCTTTGTGTTCTTGATGTTCTTGATGTTCTTGATGTTGAGCTTCAATCCATATAGGAGGCTGCAAGTGCTTCAGGTCCTCCTCAGTTTCAGCAAGCAGGGTTGTGTTATCTGCATAACACAGGTTGTTAATGACTCTTCCACCAATCCTGATGCCACATTCTTCCTTGTACAGCCCAGCGTCTCAGATGATCTGTTCTGCATACGGATTGAAAAGGTATGTAGTTAAATGCTATGGAAAGAAACATTCTTTCATAATACAGCTTCTGTATGTGTTTAAAAACTATTGCTCTATGACAAATTTAACTCATTCTGTTAATAAAATTTGGAAAATTCTCATGTTATATGATCCTCATGATTTAATATATAAGTCAGAGCCACCAAGTTGGAACCAGCTCATAGCTGATCCTCCCCTGGAATTCTAGTGCATAGAAGTAGATTGCTTCTTTTTGTCCCAAGGAGAAAATGTGGGCTGTTTAAAATAGTAAGAGACAAGGTCTTTGAATAAGCAGTGCAACTCCCTATGAACTACACTACCAGCACTTTTAATAGACTTCTTAAAAATGTTCTGTTCACAGTTATGTCTTTAAGGCCTTTTTTTAAAAAAGTATGAGACCAAATTTAATGAAATGTATGTTTAGGTTATAACAGAGCGAAATGACATGCAGAAGCAACTTTCTCAGGAACAGAATGCAAAAGTATTACAAGATGGAATTCTGAGTAGTCACATTTGCAAAAAGGAGACAGAAATGGTTCAAAAGAAAATTATACCAAATTCTGAGGTATTCCTTTTGACTATTTAAAAATGCATTTTATACTTGGGGGGGTTTTTTTGGTATATGTTAAAAACTAACTATGTGCATCTTGCAATGTATAGCAGATTTTTAAATCCTATATCTGGGAGTTTTGGCTTATTAGATAAAGTAGCATTCTTAATTTAAAGCCATTTATTTGCATTAAAAAGCAAATGGCATTCATAGTCCTCTCATACAGCAGACAGGCTCTAAATATTTTCTGTAAGAAATTATAATCCTTCCATAATATCAAAACAGTGGCTACCAATAACAAATGTCCTGCTGGATGTGGTGGCAATGATTTAAGTCCCTTGATATCTTAATGAGGAGTTCCTTTAGCAACTTAACCTATCAATTGTTGTTGGTTGTTAGATGCCAGCTAGTCAACTACGACTTATAACACCCTTGTGAACAACAGATCTGAACCTTGCCCTATCCTGGGCCATTCTTACAATCTCTGATATGCTTGAGCCCATTCTTACTATGTCAGTCCATCTTATTATATCAATCCATCTTGTTGAGAGTCTTTCTTTCTTTAGTTGACTCTCCACTTTTCCCAGCCTGATGTCTTTTTACAAGCACTTGGCCCCCTCCTGACAACATGTCCAATGTGTATGAGATGAAGTGTCACCATTCCTGCCTTTAAGAAATACCCTGAGTTGGGGAAAGACTGAGAAAAACTGGATAAATTGTGTATACTGCACTGAAACAGATGAAGGAGAGAATAATTTCAAAGCAATGTATGATAGGGTATTATGGTTATCACAAGAGTCCACAATTAAGGTTGCATAGTGGAATGTACTTGGGGCGGTGGGAGAGGTGCAGGGGATTGTGTACCAGGGAAGGAGTGTTTCTTTTACTTTTCAAAGAGAGGAGCAAACTGGAGTGGAGGGGGGGATGGGGCTGGGCGGGGAAAGAATGCAGCAATGAATGAATGGAAATCCAAAATCTCTGTAAATGTTCATTAAAATTATTAAAATAATAAAAAAATTGAAAAAAATAAATACCCTGATTGTACTTCTCTCAAAACAGACTTATTTGCTTATTCATCAATCCATGGTATATTCAGCATTCCACTCCAACACCAGGAAAGGTGAACATCAGGGTTGTATCCTTTCTCTATACCTATTCAATATGTATGCTGAGAAAATCATTCAAGAAACTACTCTATGAAGAACAAGATGAGAGCAGTATCAGAGGAAGACTTATCAACAATCTGTGTGTTATGCAGATGACACAACTGTGCTTGCTGAAAGTGAAGAGGACTTAAAATACTTGCTGCAGAAGATCAAAGACTGCAGCCTTCCATATGGATTGCATCTCATCATCAAGAAGACAAAAATCCTCACCACTGCACCAATAAGCAGTATCGTGATAAAGGAAAGATTGAGATTGTCAACAATTTCATGTTATTTGATTCCCCAGCCAACACTTTTGGTACCAGCAGTCAAGAGATCATTCCTGTGGTCAAGTCTGCTGTCAGACATCTTCAAATTGATCACATCAGCTTTAAGACTAAGGTGAACCTAATACACGCGTGGTCTTTTTTAATCAGTTGCTATGCATAAGACCTGGATAATGAATAAGAATGACAGAAGGAAAACTGATGCCTTTGAATTATAGTGTTGGAAAAGAATGCTGAATATTCCATGCCAAAAGAACAAACGGTTGTTGTTGTTTTGTTGTTGTGTGCTGTCGAGTTGCCTGTGACCCATAGCTACCCTAAGCACAGCAGCTCTGAAGCCTGCCCTGTTTTTGAATCCGTACCACTAATTCTGATACACCAACCCCCATTGTCCCAGTTACAGTATCAATCCATTTATCTAGGATCTATCTTCCTCTCCTGTGTTGTCTCCACCCTTCCAAGCATAATGTCCTTCTCCTAGCCACATGCCCAAACTATGTGAGCTTCAAAATCCTAGCCTCCAAGGAGAAAGTTGGTTTCACCCTCTCCAAGAGAGACCCATTTGTTTTCTTGGTAGTCCATGTTATGTTCAAAACTCTTGGAAAGAGTACAGTCAGAATGCTCCTTGGGAGCAAGGATGGTGAAGCTTTGTTTCACATACTTTGGACATGTTGCTAGGAGATGCTATTCCTTGGAAAAGGACATCATGCTTGGAAAGGTAGAGAGACCACAAAAGAGGGGAAGACCCTCAACAAGAAAAATTTGCACAATAACTCTAACAATGGGCTCAGGTATATCAGAAATGATGAAGATGGCACAGCTAAGTCTTGGTTCAGATCTGTTAGTCATAAGATCACTATGAGTCACTCAACTTGATGGCATCTAACAACAACAACATCACAATTAAAGGCATCAGTGTCATCTTTATTCATTTTTCACTTTCAGATGCATAGGAAGCAACAGAAAATATTCTGACTTGGATTGGGTTCACCTTGGTCTTTAAATTGGCATCATTGGTCTTTAGCACTTGGAAGAAGTCCTTGACATCAGATTTTCCCAGTGCAACATGTCATTTGATTTCTTGGCTACTGTTACCATGGTTGTTGATTGTGGATCCAAATAACATTAAGTACTTGACAACTTCCATTTTTTTCCTCCATCAGTCGTGGTGTTGGCTATTGGTCCAGTGGTGAGAATTTTTGTTTTCTTTTCTTTTAATAATTTTAATGAGCATTTACAGAGATTTTGGATTTCCATTCATTCATTGCTGCACTTCTCTCCCCGCCCATCCCCCCCCAGTTCACTCCTCTCTTTCTTTTTTTCTCATTAAATTAATTGTTTAATAAACTATATAGTCAGTTGTGTAGTATTAGTATATTGTATAGTTAAACATTCACACACCTATTTATTGTTTTTTTATTTTTTACAGAGGTTTTGGATTTCCATTCATTCATTGCCGCAGTTTTCTCCCTGTTCACCCCTCCCCACCAGTTCGCTTCCCCCTCCGAAGACAGAAAAAAAAAAAAGAAAAAAAAATTCCTTCATTAGTATACAATTCCCATGTCCCTTCCCCCCACTCCCCACCCCGAGTACACTTCTCTATGCAACCTTAATTCTGGATTCCTGTGCTAACCATAATAATCATATTATCACTTCTAATCTGTTCTTTCCCTCATCTCTTTCAATACAATATACATAATTTATCCAGTTTTATCTGTCATA